GAGATTTGAACAGCTGAACTGCAGAACTGCAGTCAGCTGAAGTAGCCTGCAGTGCTGCATTTAACCACTGCGCCATCTCGGCTCCTTTAACCCATGGCTAGATAATTACGCCTTTTATCATTCCATTCGTGCCTTTAGTCTGGAGTATGCTTTTTTGTTTTGTCTCTCTTTCCCCCCACTCTCTGTAATCCAGCAATAAGTAGCAAATGTGCAAGCTAGGAACTTTTTATTTATTTACATTTTTATCTGTTCACACCTTATCAACACTGAGACCTTTTTTGGACTTCGTACATTTCACTAAACAGAGTGAAATGATAACAAGAACATGTAAAACAGGAAGTGAAGTAATAGCCAACCTGGGATACCTGAAGAGCTAGAACAGAACAAATCTGCACCAAATGGTGATGATTATTGTACCCTTGATTGAGTGGCAGCTGTATCTGAATAAGGCGTGACCAGTTCAGCCGACATTAACATGGCCCCTTCCAGATGACTTAGAACTTCATTCACAGATTTAGTAGCAAAGATGGGCAAAGGCTGAGAGAAAATTCTGGGAGATTCAGGAGATGGTGTCAGGGTTCTAAGCAGTGGTGGGTTCTGGATCCCATTCCAACCGGTAGAGTTGGAATAGGCCCGGCGGTGTCCACATGGATGTGCGCAGCATGCACACACGTCTTAGCGTGTCCCTGAGCCTCCGCGACGCTCCAGCTGCTCAGCGGAGCATCGTGCAGGTGCTGTACGTGCTGTGCGTGGAAGAGCTGAAGACTTAAAAGGAGCTCGGGCAGCCAGGTGGGCCCTCTGGAGCACCGTACTGGAATGGTATCCGGTGCTCCGGGCAGGCTCCGGTACGCCCATACTGGGGCATACCTCCTGCAATACACCACTGGTTCTAAGTAACAGGCCCAACAGCATCAAAACTCCAAGGCAGGCAAGTTCCTTAAAGAATAAATTTATTAGGCACGTCATATTGGCACATTTGGGGAAACCCGACTCTGAGCCCCCCTTGGGTTTCCCCTTAAGTAAAAGTAATGTTTTCCCTCCCCCGCCCAGGCAGTTCAACACATGGTCTAGTCAGGTCACAATCCATGGTCACTCAGTCTCAGACCCTACCTCCTTGCACCTGGTGGGAAAACTCTTGGTTCTCAAGAGAAATAATTTTATTATGGCTACAATCCCCCAGTTATCTCTTCCTCCCCCCTCCCGTTCCCACAGCATGACTTTCTTCGCTGTGGCAGCCCTCAAATGCCAAGGGGGAAAAAGACTCCAGGGCTGACAGAGCGTTTGGGGCATTTGTTCCACTCTTCTTCTCAACTCTCCCTAAATCAGGCGTACCCAACCTTGGCAACTCTAACACTTGTAGACTGCAACTCCCAGAATTCTCCAGACATCATAACTGGCTGGGGAATTCTGGGAGTTGAAGGCTGCAAGCCTTAAAATCACCAAGGTTGGACACCTCCGCCCTAAATGGTCTAGCAGACCTGGGCAGGTCAGTCCTCATTATTTCTATGACTTACATAATTCTAAGATTTTGTACCGCATTTCAGAGTTCCGCCCTGCTTCTGAATATTGTCCTTTTTTTGCCCACACCCTTTCAGCTCCTGGAAATCTTAAGAAGACCATTCCACCTGCACGTGTGGCATCTTCCAATGGTGTTGATGCTTCAGCATTGAAACCTCGAACGCTGATGGGGATGGCATCTAAAACAACTACCACAGGACTCCCAAAAAGGATAGCACACACTCCCACTCTGCAGGTGATAAATTGCCAGATTTATCCAGCTTCATAGGTTTTTTTTTTAAATTGAACACATGAAACATTTTAGCCTTTAACTATTTTAGCCTTTAATTTTAACGTTTGGAAGACTGTTGAAGATAAATGCTTGAGGAAGATTGTGCTTCCTTTTGTTTTCTTCTAGGATATATCATCCAGCTTTGCATATAAAAAATATTTGAGTCAGTCTTAGGAAGAATTTTGGATTACTGTATTTTTCAGAGTATAAGACGCACCAGAGTATAAGATGCACCAAGGTTTTGAAGAGGCAATTTAAAAAAAAA